GGGCAGATGTGGGTCTGGGCTTGGAGGGACGTCGATCCGGGACGCCCGGGGCCAGATGCGGAGTGGGGGGCCTCGGACGGGTCCGCTTTGTGTCAGGCCCCAGGGGCTGCGTCTCTGTCGGCGCCCCGAGCGCCCAGTGTGTGCAGGAGGCGGCGTGCCTCTGGCCACCCATTCCACGCTGACCGGCAGTTTGAGTCGGACCGGGGCCTGGAGATTAGGATGGAGCCTGCTTCCCGCCCAGCCGGCTCGGCCGGGCCAGCCCCCGCCCCTCCCTCCCCTTCTCTGGCTTCGGACTCGCCTCGGCTGGCGGTCTCCCGGCCCAGCCCTGCCTGTTCCGCGGGCAGCCGCCCCTGCTCCGAGGGCTCCAACCCGGCCGCTGGCACCACGTGCCCTCACCCAGTCCTCTGTACCTGGGGAAGATGTGGGATTGCTCAAAGCTTGTCCAGAGGGAAGGAGTCGGGAGCTGGGGGGTGCAGAGGAGTGAAGCAGCTAACGTAAAACCCCTAATTAATTTCGTATAATCCGTGTCAAAACTGACAGGGACACACACACCTACAAGAGACACGCCAGCACACTTGGTGACACACACCCATGTGACTCTTACACACACCGTCTGCACACAGCAAATCACAATGGCCCTGCACTACACATCCAACCCCCCACCTCACCCGCACTGCTTTCCAAGTGCAGAAGAAAGAACATCAGTCTCACAGGACAGCCGAGTGGGGACCACTGTCCCTAAGTCCACCCGAATTCTCTGGGCATCTTCTCCCAGCCCTGGACTGCAGATTGTCCCTCTTTAAAACAGTGAGAAATTATGGTAGAAAATCCTGGTCTCACTCCAGGACAGGGAGACAGGATCTTGATGGTGAGTGAGAAGTAGGGAGGGTAGGAGCTGCTGGTAGCCTTTCTTGCTGGGTCCAGTTGGGGCTTAGAGTGCTGGGAGTGGCTGGCTTCTGGGCATCTGAGTGGCCAAGGGATGGAGGAGGGGGTGGAAGAAAGGGAGAGGGAGAAAAAGAAAGAATGAGTATGAGTCAGCCAAGGATGGAGCCTAAGTCAGAGAGAGAGAATGAGGGGAATGTGTGTGAGGGAGACAGACAGGAGAGAGGGACACAGAGGGACAGAGATACAGTCGGAACAAGGAGAGGAAGGAAATGAGAGACAGAGATGGTCAGAAGAGTGGGGAGAGTGCAGGGGAATGAACTACGGAGGCTCAGAAATTAGGGAGGATGAAAGTAGGATGGTGGTGAGACCAGTGGGAGTTAGAGGAAACATGCTGAATATGTTTGTTTTGTTTCTCTACATGTCTGGCCTCAGGGCTGTCAGAGCGATTAGCTTTAATTGCTCTCCCCTTTGTGGTTAAACACTCCATTGGGGAAATTGCCAGAGATGCCCTAGGCAGCCCGCTGCCCTGGTTGCCTACTTCCTTACTTTCCTGACACCTGTGCCCATCATGTGTGCACTTACTGTCATACATGAAGAAGAGGACAGTCTTACCCTGCCATGCCATCCACTCACTCTCTTACACAGACCCTCACCCATGAAACAATGGTGGACATCACCAACCTGTATGCAGCCAGCCAATCCATGCCTCTCCCCCACCAAACTTTCTCTCTTTACAGCAGAGACACTCACTCATTCCTAATACAGCTAGTATAGGAGCTCTGAGAATTCAGATGGGGACACCGAACCCAGGAGAACCCAGGGGTCTATGTATTCTTGGCTGCCACCAGGTGGAATAGGATGAAAGCCCACTGAAAAGGAAGGGAGGAAAAGAGAGACTGAGAGACTAGGGAGAGAGGTAATAGATGAGGAAGAGATAGAGAGATGGGAGAGAAGCAGAAATAGAAGTAGGGGGAGAGACAACCAGAAGAGTAAAGAGCAGCCCAGGCCCCCCTCCCCCTCCTCTGCCCTGCCTGATCCAATGCCAGGTATCTCCTGCTGCTCTCGTCATGGGTCCCATCTTTCTTCTGTTAGACTAAGGGCTAAAAGCTTAGCCCTGTCCCTGTGCCCAGTGGTAACCCATTTTGCTTCTTGGACTGAACATTCTGAGGTCCAGGTGTCCTGCCCCACACCTCATCCCCAGGCTGACTCTGGAGCCTTAGAACCTTATTCTTCCTACTTTACAGGAATAAAAGCATTCACCACCTCACCCCCCCAATCCCCCACCCCCCCCCCCAAAAGCTAAGTAGAAGCTAAGGGAAGAGATCAGTTGAGTATGATATTAAACAAATAATTAGGGATGAACTATAGGACTGCTTGAACCTGGGGCCCAGATAAAATTTAAAGTAGGAACCCCCCACTCTCGCTTCCCACCCCTCTGTTTCGCCTTGATTACAACCCTCCCACCCCTAGCTGCAAACCAACAAGACTGACAGACTTGAATGTCTACAAGCGCCCTCGAATGTCTACAAGCGCCCTCCTGCCCACTGCAGGGATCTCCAGGTCCTTGCCGCTCCCCTCAGCCTTGGGCAGCTACAGCCGATGTGAGGGAGGGAGAGGCAGCAGCTCCTAATTCTCAGGCATTCTTCTTAAATTTACTGAGGATTTGGAACCAAATGCTTGGGAGAGGGAATAATCATGAACTAATGTCAAGATGCACAGAAATTCTTTCGGCGCTGCCACCTCCTCCACAGGTGGTTATCCCATTCCGCTAGGCTTCTAGACGTGCCCTGAAGGGCTTGCACCTTCTCCCAGTGCCCGTGGAGCACCCACCTGTCTTGCTCCCAACTCCTACCCTAAGAAGGTTAGAATATAATGATCCTTACCCTCCTGCCCCTCTTCCCCAGCATCCTCCATTGGTTTGACTTTTGTCAGGGCCCCACCTGGGGCCAGCTTGGAAGGAGAGGGAGGAAGGAAGGAAGGTGTGAGGAAGCCGTGAGCAGAGCACAGAATGATCTGGGACGGAAGGGGACTGACTTCCTGGCAGCCTCGGCTCCGGTTCCCGGTTCCTGCCCTGGTATCCTGTCCCAAGAACGGCCTCCGCCCAGGCTGCCTGGTGTTCCCTGGGCAGCCCCTGCCCTGGTCCAGAGATCAGGAGGACTCTTCAGAGCTGCAAGGGCGGGAAGCTTCTTCTCAGGCCCTGTGGAATTCTGAATCTTCGGTGAGGAAAGTAACATGGAGGGTGAAGGGGCCAGGCTCCTGCCAAGCCCCACCGCAGCCAGACTACCTGGGGACAATGGTTGACCAGTGAGGCCTGAGCGCCAAGTACGGAGGTTCTGCCTCCTCGCACTCCACAACTCCACCCCAAACTCCCCTGACCTTACCCCTGCTGCCACACCCAAGCCTGGGCAAATGGGATCTCTCCAGGGAGGGAGACAACCAAGCTGCCTCCCCCTGCTCCCTCAAGGGGCCTTTCCCCTACCCTTTCTGTCTCTTCTTACTCACCACTTCCCACATCCCTTCCATCCAGTGGTGTCATTGTCCTGATGATGGGGGGGCACCCAGAACTCAGGCTGCCATGGTAACCACCGAGCTGAGGCTGCAGCCTTCGTGGACTCTGTGTGCTCCCTGTCCCCCTCCCCCTAGGATTCCTCATTTGCAGCCCGAGTCTCTTTCCCGCTCCCAACACCAGCTCTCTTCCTCCATTCTGTAGGCTCCCCTTCCTCTTTTCTCTGGATGTGAGCTGTGGTTATTTACCTTCTTACACATACTCTCAGCTGGTCAGACACCTTAGAAACAGACCACATACACTCAGAGCCACACATCCAGTGCTGGCACATACACATCCATTACCAGAACATCCAAACACACCCACAGATACCACCCACTGCCTCCTCCCCATACCTGTGCCCACACCCAGGGATCAGCACCCACACAGAGGACCCTGGCACACAGTTTCCTCCTCTGCTGCTTCAACATTCCCACCCCCATTTCTCTTAGGGGCCTCCCTGTATCTGTTTCACTCTCTCTGAAACCCTCCTATCCACCACTCCCAGCCCTTGTGGGTGGGTGTCTAATACACATTAATCCCTTCCCTCCCACCTCCCCTGTAAGTCTGTGTTTTAGATTTGATCTAACACGTGTGTGTGCGCATGCACACACACACATGCTCACTCTCTCTCTCCTCCCACAGGGTCTCTCTATTTACAAACTCTTCTTGCATGTGAAAGCAGGGCTGTATGACCCTAAATCCTGTCCCATTTTCCAGCTGAGGGCTTGGTCCCATCCTGGGGACACAGTCTTCTTGAGGGCATCTTGCCTCCTAACCATGCTGCCCTTTCTTTTTCAGCTCTCCTCACAACCCCACTCCATTATTATCTCCATCTGTGGACCCCCTCCCCTTCATTCCCCCTTGTCCACATCCCCCCTTTTCTGTCCTCGGATTATCAGTGGAGAGGGGTGGGGGCTGGGCTCCAAAGCCTGCTGCTGTGACCTAGATTTCAAGGCAGAGACGGTTCCTGGTGCTGACAGTCAGAGAGCATTGTTCCTGGCCCAGCCTGGCAGGGCCACCGCTGGGCCCTTCTGTCTGGTTGCACCTGGGTGTGCAAGTGAGCATGCCTGTAAGTGCCTGTTTCTTGTACGGGTCCTGCTGGTCCTGCTGCCTGGCTCACTGTATGTTTGTTTCACAGTGCCTGCCACCAAGGGAGGCTTGTTTATTCTGGTCCAAGTAGGGGGCTGGGAATGAGGCCTTCTGGGTCCATGCCTTTCTATGTAGTGGCCGTGCCTCTCTGCCTCAGTTTCCCTGCATATAAGCCAGAAATAAGGAAAATGGAGCATGTCAACTAGCCCCCTTCTACCTGCCACATTTCCAGCCCATTGTTGGGGTGAATGGTGGGCAGTCTCAGTCAAGTACAAGGTCATCTAGTTCCTTACCCCACCCCTTTGTCTAGCCACATGTTTATGATATAATTTACTTTTCAAAATGCTTCACTTTTCTAATTATAAAAGAAATACATACTCATTGTGGGGGAAAAATCCCCTTTTTGAAACTCAACTAGAGTTTCACATTTTATCAAATCCAGAAAGTTCATCCTAAGCTCTGACCTTCCTTCTTTCTGTCTTAGCCACAGTCCCCATCTTAGTGGAAGGAGGCCTTGAATGTTCTCTACCTTTTCACCTAAAGCTCTCCATGAAAGAGGGATAGGGTGAAGGCCTAGATGAGACCTAGCCTTCCCGTCCCTCTCTGGGAGGTCACGCTGAAGGTAGTGCCAGCCAAATGTTGATGGAAGCAGGAGTGGCAGCCCCCTTCCTGCCAGACTCTCCCAAAGCTGCATCTGAACCCCTTCCCCCTGCCACCCAGCCAGCCTGGGAACTGGGCAGGGGGCCAGGGCCAGCCGCTCGGTATTCTTGGGCGCGGGGGCTGTAGGCATAACACAAAGGCTAGGAGAGAGGGCTGTGTGGAGGCCCGGCAGCAATCAAGGGAGAAAATGGGCTCCACAAAGGTAGGGGGTAGCCCATAGCTTCCCCCTCCCCGCCCCCATCCCCTGAAACCTAATGACTGAATACAGGGCTGAGCATGGAGGGTCCAGGGAACCATTAGACCAGGCAACTAGGCATCCATCCAAAATGAGTCATTAGTAGGGTGGTGGGGAGTTGAAGTGAAGGACCCCCTTTGCTTCTGGGAAAGAATGGAAGCTAGAACACGTGAGCTCCAATCAACCTCCTCCAGCCCCTTCTTTTTAGCTTCTCACTGCCACAGGAAGCCTCTCCCTGGTGGTGGTTGTTTTGGAGGGGATTTTTTTTTTTGGATAGGGGGAGGGGTTGCAAGTGGGTGGGGCGATTCTGGGGGAGGGGCTTGGAGACTGCTGGCAAGAAAGTCGGGAGCAGGTTGCCATGGTAACCGCCTCCTCAGTCGGAGAAGTGTTGCCAGGGTTACTGTTAAGAGAGGGAAAAGGAAGAAAAAAGATGGGAGTGGGGGAAGGAGGTGTGACTTCACTCTAGGCTCCAGCCTGGCCCCTGGCTTCCGAATTTCTTCCTATCTACTTACTCCTACCTCCCTCAGGTCTCCACTTCTCCCTCCAGCCCTGGCCTCCCCACCTCCGTGCTCCAGGCACATGCCTGGTACGATGGAGGAGGTGTAGGTAGTGCCAGTGAGTAAACCACACCCTGCAGCTCAAGCTCAGCCTCCTCTCCCTTTGTTCTCTCCAACCGCAGTCATGGCCGAGTACGGGACCCTCCTCCAGGACCTGACCAACAACATCACCCTTGAAGATCTGGAACAGCTCAAGTCAGCCTGCAAGGAGGACATCCCCAGTGAGAAGAGTGAGGAGATCACTACTGGCAGTGCCTGGTTTAGCTTCCTGGAGAGCCACAACAAGCTGGACAAAGGTGGGAGAGGGGCAACCTACCATCAGCCTTTCAGGCTCAGTTCATTCAGCATACAGACCTGAGCTCAGAGCTCCTATACACACAAAGTGCACTCCTCTCTGACAAGGCAGGGCAAGAGGGATGCTCTAACAGAGCAGAGGGGCTCTAGGGCAGTGGTCTTTGCATTCCTTATGGTGCCCCTTGTCAGTAAAAATGTTCAGTAAAAAATGTTATTCAGATCCTGCTGTGCTATTATTACATATATAATAGAACATTAAAATAGAAGTTAAAAGTGATAAAACCACAAGTTCTAACATTTCCTTATCCACTTTTAGAGACTGCTGCTGTGGAAAGGGCACTAGTTCTTCCAACTAGTGTTTAAGATGGCCCTGACGGGCAAGTGGAATTTCAAAGGCAGGATCCAAAGGAGGACATACTAGGCAAAGGACCATAGTTGCAGAGGGGGGAGAACGGTGTTTGGAAAAGCAAGATGTCCTGCTTAGCTGCTTGGCTGGGGCAATAGGGTATGTTGAGAAGTGACTGGAAAGGTAGTTAAGGCTGTGTAGTGGAGGGCCTTGAGTGGTTGGCGTTTGATAGGTGAGGTGAGTGGCCTGAGGACCCTTCAGAGATACAAACCTGTAGCATGGATAGCAGGGAGGGAGGCTCAAAGAAAACACATTACAGACTACTGCAATAGTCAGACGGGAGGAGCCAGGCAAGAAGGCATCTGCAGTCTCCTAGAACTGGAGATCATCCTTCTGGTCATCTCTATGCCTTCTCTCATTCAGAATTACCCTTCTCACTAGGCCCAGAATCTCTCCTGGGTTGTCTAGATTCCACCCTTCCAGTCCCACATGTGCTGTTGGGAAATTCTGATGCTGTACTTGGAGGAAAAGCAGAAGAGGGACAAGGTGGATGGATGTTGGGTATTTGGAAGGCCACTTAATTTTTCTGTTCTCCCCTCCCTTTGGAACTTGGTGTTTAACCTAAATCCCTCTTTCTAAATCCATCATCTATAAATGATCTGCCCTTCCTGGAAACAGTTTTCTGTACTGTTTTTGGTGCTTTAGCTTTCTTTTCCTGGCTTAGTAGCCCTTATTCCAGTGTTGCCTCCTCCAATAACCAATGTGAGCAATTCAGCCTTGATTCCAGAAGCCTAGTCTGGTAGTGTAGGGGAAGCTAATCTCTACAGCCTAGATCTGACCCTCAGTCTCCTGCCTTCCTCCAGACAACCTCTCTTATATCGAGCACATCTTTGAGATCTCCCGCCGTCCAGACCTACTCACTATGGTGGTTGACTATAGGACCCGTGTTCTGAAGATCTCTGAGGAAGATGAGCTGGACACCAAGCTAACCCGTATCCCCAGTGCCAAGAAGTACAAAGGTAAGAGGCCATGCCTTTAACGTGCACCTCTGCCCCCTCCCGTGGATCGTCCTTGGAGTACGTGAATTTTGGGAGAACAGAGGCTGATGCTCCTTAGGCCTACCTGGTGTCTCCCATGACTTCTGTCCCTGGACACATCCCTTTTTACCCCTAGACATTATCCGGCAGCCCTCTGAGGAAGAGATCATCAAATTGGCTCCTCCACCGAAGAAAGCCTGAGCAGAGGGAGGAAGAAGACGAAGGTTGAACCTTCATCGGACCACTCCCTTCCCCCATCCTCCAGGGGAGGGGGCAAGGGCATCCCCCCCACCACAAATCTACCCACTTACTAACCTGGTCCTAACCCCCTTACTGTGCGCGTGTGTGTGCGTGTGCGCACGCTCTGGCTGTCTGTCTATATGTCTAGCTCATCTAGTTCCTCCTCCTTGTGAGGGGCTGGGGGTCAGGGGCTGGGGGTGGGGGGCTTAGTTTCCCCACTCTAGGGGGAGTTGGGGGCTATTTCTATGCAAGTAGAAATGGGCACATTCCTCCTACTCCCCTTTCCTCCACTTTTCCCCCACATCACTGAAGTGTGGGAGCAGAAAGGACCTGTATTTTCCTACACTGAGCAGGCGAGGTAGGGGTGAGGCATGGGAGAGGTGAATGAATCTAATGAAAAGCAGTGGGAGGGAAGACGTAGAAGCTACCCAACCCCCACCTAGAAGGGGCAAAGAAAAGCCAGAGTTCACGTTTGTACCGCAACGCTGGACTGGCTGAGGAGTCCAGTTTCCAGCTGTTCCTCAGGTTGGAGGGCCTGGGCACCCGCAGGTCCCTTTTTGCTCCCCTCTCATGGGCCTAGAATGGGTATGAGCCAGGGGTCTAAACGGAGAGGATCACTGGATCCTTTCCTGGCCCCAAAGTTCACACCCCATAGAGCACCCAGCATTAGATACCCCCCACCCACCTCTGCTCTGGAGAGACTGTGCTGGGAACATGCCCCACTGAGCCTGAGTGGGGATGAGGGCAGAAAGAGGAGTCCCCTTTTCCACTCCTTGATTCCTACTCAGACTGTTGCACATACTGACCTAGGGAGTTCCCTGAACCTATGGAGGTTGAGGAATTGAGATCCTTAGGTTTTAACTCCAATCTTGTTCCCACCTACAGAGTCCCAACACGGTTACCAGGCAACCTTCCTTATCGCCATGGTCTAGAATCCCCTCCCCAAAGCCAGAAAGAAGGGAAGAAGTTAACTACAGTGTTTTCCTTTGCACTGATCCCACTTCAATTCAAGAGGGGACCTGGTAACCTCTCCCCCTCAGTATCTTGGCATCTTGGGCTTGTGAACGCCTCCTAGCCAAATCATTAGAGTACAGCAACCCCAGCCTCCTGCCTGTCCCAAGATACCCCTCCCCACCCTGACCGTGCTAACTGTGTGTACATATATATTCTACATATATGTATATTAAACCCGCACTGCCATGTCTGCCCTTTTTTGTGCTGTCTAGCATTAACTTATTGTCTAGGCCAGGGCGGGGGTGGGAGGGGAATGCCACAGTGAAGGGAGTGGCAGAGTCAAATTGCTACACAGTCAAAACAGAAAAGAAAACTTTTTTTTTGAAACTTCAAATTCACTTGCAATCTCAAGAGACTATTTAGAGAAAGTTTTAAGTTAGGAGCTTTTAGCATGTGGGAGCAAGGTTTTAGTGGAGGGGAAGGGTTGGCTGTTAGAAGAGGGAAGCAGCCAGGCTGGATGGAGAGCACGCTCTAATCCTAGCCCAGCCCAGCCTGCCTGTGCCCCCTTGGCCACTGCTGCAGACACCTGCCTTAACATACACACCTCGAACACTCCACAGTTTTGCCTTAAAGGACCTTCTCGAGTTCCCCCAGCCCTGTCTGGCTTCTCCCTCAAGGAGAGAGATCTTATAGAATTAAGAGGGGGAATGAACATGAACTGTCCTTCCATGCCAGGAGATGTTATGTGAGAGTGAGTCTGAGAGAGACAAGAGAGATGGAGAGAGAGAGAGGGAGAGACGGGGAGAGGGGAGAGGGGAGAGAGAGAGAGAGAGAGAGAGAGAGAGAGAGAGAGAAGAGA